ATAATTCATGAGATGACGCCATATTTACTGGGCATTGCCACGTGTTTTTACCGACCCCATCAAAACACTGGTATGAATGACGTGTTTCTGATTTATATATTCAAGAGTAGTTGTTCTGGTCTATACGTTAACTTTCATTTTCAATAGTCTAGAAAGTATGACAAAGTATGACAAAGCAGTAATTCCCGGTTTACCGCGCAAATATGCAAATTAGCCTTTTTCTCGTCTTCTATTTTTGGGGAATTCTTGGGTTTTAAATTAAAATAGCTGATAGACGCTTTGGCCATTAGCCTCGGAATTTTCACACATTATTGACAAGGTGTTCCCCCTTCAAAATGCGTCCGGACAGTTTATTACGGCGAGTGGAACAAAAATAACAAGTCCGCAATTAACATGGATATATAAATTATGCAAAAATAGAAAAGAGTGAACTTTGAGGTCATGCTGTGCGACTTTGAAAGCCGTTAGAGAGATGAGTGGACGCATTTGAATTATGTAATTTTACCCACAAACGGACTTGAAGTTTTTAAGCTAATTTTTTTTAAACCACTTTTGTCCAAAAAAGCATATTTTTGACCCAAAATCAAAAACGCATTCTGGATATATAAAATAAAGACAAGTTTTACAAAGTTTGTATAATAAGCTTTCAGAAAATATATACCATGTTGGATATATAATACGATCTTCATTGTCTAATTACTCAATTAAAAAGCAAGCCAAATAAACTGCATCTCTACCTTAAATGAAGTGATTCACTTTTTCAGATCACAATCGATAGAGACAGACATAACATTTGGAAGTTTTAGCATGAATTTCACACACACACAACACCTGCTTTGTGGAAACTAAACAAATCTGCCAAAAAATAACAACACAGTAATATCCATGTTAAGCTCAGATGGACATTCCAAAAAATAGATACTCTTATTTTCTCACAAAAATGTATAATGCAAGTTTTCAGATTATATCATGTTATGCAAAACATTGTTTTTTTTTTTGAATTGGCTTCACAAAGATTTCTGTGTTATAGAGGAATTAAAATGATATAAATATAAATTCCATTTTGGAGCACAACAATTTAATAGAATACATTTGAGGGCCATAAGTAAAATAAATGAAAACTTACTATGTTATGCTTGTTAAATAAATTTTTTTATGGTCTTTGACCCAATATGCATAATCACGATAAAATGTTTGCATCAAAATCAAACTGTTTATATCAATTACACAGTTCCAGAAACATTTAAGTATTAAAATTTAGCAAATTTGTGGACCTAATATTTTTTGATGAATTAATTACTAAAAATCATGTATCAATACTGAAAAATAAATCTACTGACAGGAAAATCCAATATTCAATTTGATGATGATAATAAAACCAGGCAGCACAAAAAATTTTAAGAAATTATATATATATATATATCGGTAGATATTACAACTACAGTAGTAATTCAGACACATATGATGTAAGAAGTGATGTGATGGTCGAAAATATCTCCGCTGTCTTTATTAATGATATCATCATGAAATGAAAAAATCAGTCCACCCAAGGTACCAAAAGCAATTGAGCTGGTAGTTTTCAAGAAGAAGTTGAAAATAACATTGTTTATCAAAAATGACCATAATGTTCACCAAAAATAGAGAATTAAAGATCCCATCATGAAATAGACAATCTGACAGATCTACCCCTACATACTAAGTACCAATGAAATTGAGCAGGTAGTTTTCGAAAATAGAATTGACGATGGACGACAGAAAATCACCTATATGAACATCTCTGCTTTGTTGTCTTCAATGAGAGCGAAGCTAAAATAAAATAAACAATAAGAAATGATTTGTGTAAGCCCACTTGTTTTTACCTGAGAGTGCAAGGTTGTGTTCAGAACCGCATGCAATCTGTAATAGATTTAAATAAAATCAGTATATATATATATATATATATATATATAATGAAATAAAATGATACAAATTAAATAAATGGATTTTTTAATCTCTTGTGTGTTTATGGCTTCTTATTTTTTTCATGATTGTATCAAAAATATTTTCCCATATTATCAACTGATTATTAATAATTGTTGCCTTGTGGTTGCTATGCATACTAGAATAAGTGATTTGTATGTTATCATTGATATTGCATTTCAACACACAAAAGACGAGATGAATAATGTCAACTAGTACCTGTTTTATATCTTTTAATATCACTAATTCCTTGGGCTTTGTCACATCCTTTTTAGCACAATTATTACCAGTAAGACTAATGCCAAGTTGACTGTAATCATTTCTGCCCCAACCAAAAACATTAGAATCATCTACAGATTCAAACAAAGTTGGTACACGTTATCTTCATACATATGCATAATAGGTAATTTTGAGAAAAGATATGAAAAAACATGGTCCAATACGCTCACACACAACTGAGATTCGATTCCAGATTGGTGAATATATGTAATTTTGATGCTTTTTTAGCCTTAAAATGGCCATATTGAACCATATCATGAAAGAAATGCATATATCACCAATATGATGTATGTGCATGTCCAGTTTGACCTCAATCAGTCTTGGCATGTCAGAGATACAGATGAACAACTGTATATGTGTATATGATGGTACAATGTCTAATGTATGTGTGAGATTGAACTTGACTGTTCTTGGCATGATAGAAATTTGGATCAAGAACTGCATTTTTAATACAAAATGGCCACCACTCAGCCTTGATCACTACAAGTATGCACAGAGGTTAATCCATAAGTACACATTTTCTGGCCGTGCCTTAACAGGGGACTAAAATATAATGCACCTTTCAGAAATCAGGTTAGAGAATTAAAGATATCATTACAAAATGAACAAATCTGAGAGAGGTCCACATGTAGTACCTATATACGTAATATCAATTGAAAGCAATCTGACTTGCGGTTTTTTTAAGAGAAGTCGAAAATATCACTTTTTACCAAAAATTATATATATATATATTGTTTGGCTGCAAAGTGTTGTAGATGTCATGTTGAACTTGTGATATATTTCACTCACGTGTAATAGCAAGTATATGCGTCCAACCACTGTGAACAGCTAGTATTTGCCTCCCACCAAATAACTCTAAATTCAGCTTAGTTGGTACTGGTAAGATGTCTTCCTTACTACTGCCACCACTCTGTACAACACCCTGTACACTATTGGTCAATTGGTTGTGTTTATTACTTCCCCATAGATACATATTCCCACAGGCTATAACAAAAGAAATAAATTGTAGTTTTGAATAAGTTTAAAGCAGGAGAGTCGTCATGTCCGCAAGCGACGATAACAACACACACTAAAAATGCAAAGACTCATGGGTAGACGCTTGTTTGTAAACAATGACACGCTATGGCCATCTAATGCATGCGCAGGTGACGATTCTCTCACTTTAATTATATAAAACACAATGAAGGTGCACTTTAATTGGTTTAGCTTTTTATTCGTGCCAAGTTTTATAATTATATATCTACCAAGTTGTTATGTAATGCATTTAGAACTGACATTCCACAGTGCCGT